CTCACAGCTAGTTTCTGATTGTTGTGGCGTGGAATAACATAGCACAGACCACGCTTCAATATTGGGCATAAATCAAAAATTACTTGGACAAGCTCACTATGACACACTGCTGCTGGAGAATAACCAGCCCTTAAGGATAATTGAAAGAAGCCAATTAACCTAACAGTCATGTTTTTGGACTGTGGGAGGAAGCCATAGTACCCAGAGAGAACCCACGCATGCTCAGGGAGAACATGCAAACTCCATGCAGAGACCTTCTAGCTGCAAGGCAGCAGTGCTACCCACTGTGCCACTGAGCAGCCCCATTATTAGATATGCATTCATGAAATCAATGCTTGATTTTTTCTTATAAAAGGTCACATCTCTCACACATTATCACCTTAACATTTTTTATCAACATAGGGCAGATTAAACCATTCCTATGATAGATTAATATCAACAAAATGAAAAACTTAGATTTAAATGTCTTTGTCTAAATTTTAAAAAACATTTATGGATGTGAATCTTAAATTGACTCATAAATGACCTAAATTATTTGACCTTTAGCATTGGTAATGATTATGAGGCAGCATGGGTAGTCATGCTGTATTCCTTTACTTTGGAGCTCAGACCTAGGAAATTGGAGTGCCGGGATCTTGGAGGGGACGGCGTTCCAGTTTCCCGCTTGTGGAAGTACAATATGAAAACTATGGCCACTGTTACAAACATAATAAAAGCAAAACATTTTCAACTTGTTATTTTTTGTTCACATAAACAAAGTCAAGAAAACTTGTTTTATAAACACAAAAAATTACAACGTGTCACCGTGCGGAAGTTTAACTATTGTTGATGCAGCTGTCATCTTGAATGTGGAAATTGGTGCTTTCCCCGACTTGTAAATACAACTTCCAGGAACGTTCCAGGTTAAATTTACTAATTGGAGGTCCTAAATTCCAACTTAATGGCTATATTATCTTACAGATTATAGTTATATGTTTTGTACCATAGGATGAATTGACCATGGTTCTCCAGCACTAAAATGGTGGTATCGGTATCGGTGAGTACCAACAAATAGGGCACCGATACCATTTTGAGAGACAAAAGTTTATTCAACTATTGTCATTCATTCCAGGTAGGCAATATAAAGTTCTACTGAATTAACTTTGTATTTGTTAGGTTTATTCTTTTATACATCATGTGCATTGTTACTTTGTTAGCCAGATAGAGAGAGTAGATGGCCTTCCTTCACATTGTGGATGTCACTTTGTGTAAGTGGGTTGTCTAAATAGGACAGCCTTCTTGTCTTTTAAAGATACACAGGATATGGGCACATCTTGGAGCCGGACTGATAGAGGAGATGTATCTGTAATCTTGGGCATAGAGGCAAGATGCATACAGGTCAGGGCATGGATGGCGTGTCAGTTTCTGATACGGACAGCTAAACATCCACATTATCCAACACATAGACTCATGAGCTATAAGAAGGAGAAGAAGACCTTGTTCGGGACTCAATCTTTGCCGGACACTCGCGGACGTGATTTTTGAGCCCACAGCTGTGCAAACTCCAAGCATTTTTCTCTGTCCTGTAACGACCTGATCTGGAATAAACTCTGTTACTTTTTTACTCCTGTTGTTATACTCCTTTTTTATATGGTTTTACCCAGTTTGAGTTAAGAGTATTAAGTAACTTGCTCCCAGGAAAAGGAAGGAATGTCACGAGGCGCAAGTGCCTTCAACGGGATATAACTTCCTCATTTTAACATATTAGTCTTTTTCCTGCTTCACAAAGGTAGGCAGCAGCTTGACAAAGCTCTGATGGCAATTATTTTACATCCAAGGTGTATGCAGTTCTTCATATATACACGCACACATCAATTTCAAACAGATGGTATCGGTATCAGCCAATGCTGCACAGCCATGTATCGGATATCCGTATTGGGGCCAAAAAATGGCATCGGTGCAACACTGATATTTATTAACAAAGATATATAAAAAGTAATTTCATAGTTATCTCAAAAGCAACTGTGAAGGATCTGTAGGGGTTTAGCACTACATTAATTTGTCCCAAAAATAGCTTTGTCGGTTCAGTATGCAGGTGTACCAAACAAAAGCATCATTTTCAGTTCCTTGTCATGTGAAGAAATATGTGAAACTAAGTGAGCAATGCAATGTTCAGTGGTGCAACTATAAAATGGAAGACAAAAAAGAGACAAAGGCTACATTCACACTGAAGGTCTTTATGCTAAATTCCGATTTTTTGTGTGAAATCCGATTCTTTTGCCTGGTTGTTCAGATTTCAAAATATATGCGACTTCTGTGTGAACAGCATTCACGCAACTTAAGTGTGCTGAATGCGCAGTAGAGGACGCAATGACATCACAAGCAGGCATGCTCTGTGTTTAATGAAGCAAACATGAATGGTAGTGCTGGAGCGCATTTTGCAATCTTTAATTTCATTCCCAGCCTTAGCCATTGCATTAACAACACAATCTTTTCACAAACATTGAAAAATAAGGCTGCTCACTGCATTATTGTCCACCCAATGATTGTTTTTTTTCTGTGTAGCAAAGCACAGAATAATGACCTTTGTCTAGTAGTAATAACGTTCAGGTCTGATGAATGCGACCTAGCTGTTCGATTTAGGACCACATAGCCAAGTGGGCTGGATCGCATTGGAAAAAATTTAATCTTCGTTGTTTAGACTGTTATAAATAGAGGTCGCATATTGGCAAAAAAAATCCTGCTGTGTGAACATTGCCAGAGAAGATTAACAGCTATAACTTAATGCTATGTGGGGACATTCTACTTTCATTAAAGGGGTCATAGAAAGATTATATAGGGTATTTGGTGCTGGTCCTTAAGGTGTCTGAATAGGGTGTGTAGCAGTTGTTGGGCTGAAAATGGCATATTTGCTGTACTATGCACCCTAATGCAAGCCTGGTTAAAACCCCTAGAATGAAATGACAGGTTTTCTTCCTTTTATGGTATGAATATTTAGATGAGCTATGCACTGATTGGTTGGTTTACAACGAGCAAAGCTGCTGAGCAAAGATGCATCATACAAACAAGCACTCATTCACTGAAACATTGAAATTGTTGATAATGTAGGGTGACCAAATGTCCTACTTTTCATACCTAAAAAAATGTCTGGGGGGAATTTCAAAAATCGTCCGGGATTTAGGTCGACTACAGGGCAGCACGCAGTCCAAACGCACCGGGCAGTCGAACCGAGTTTTCAGCTCTGGGGCTGGTCTGGGAACCCTGGCGGACGGGGGCAGGGAGCCAGCTGGGGATGGAGAGACCAAACCTGACCTGCTGACGGTAGCCTGGACACTGGCGGCCCCGTGCTTCCCCCCGCCCTGCCTTGCCGGCCCCCAGCCCCCCTCCTCCGGCTGAGGATGGGCGGCTCATGGCTGTCTGCTGAGGTCCGGTCCAGTCAGTGGCCCAGCAGTCGACACCTCATATACTTATAATACTTGGCTTTACGTCAGCCTTTTACAACAGCAATAAGGTACCTGAAGTACTAACTCTCTATAGGCTGAACTCAACTACTCTCCAAACAATCTTGCGTTGAATGTAAACATCACAGATATCCCCCCAAAAAATCAGCGGACATTCAGGTTCCGCTACCTGCAGCATTCAGCATTCTTTATCAAAATCAAAGTGTGAGATAAGAGTTGATTTGCTTCAAAATCTGGGCTGCTACATTAAAGTACATCTCGGAGAGATGGTGATTTTAAATTTTCTTTTATTAGGTATGAGCAAAGCCTGATTAAAAATATCTGACAGCAAAATTGACCATTGGTTATAATATAGTGTATATCTATCCATCCACTGATTGCTGTTGCTGTTTATACTATTCCGTACATTGAACAAAACCCAACCATATTTCCAGTCAGGGCAGGACTTTCCACATGTTTTAGTTTTAAAACATAATATAAACCAAATTAATGTCTGAGATTGAGGAATATTCTTTCTTTCCTACATTTCTTCATTACAAAATCAGCAGATATTAAAAATATGTAAAGTTCATTTAAAGTGATACAGCTTCTATTGTTTTTAGGCAGCTTATTCTGTGGTCTTTTTACTAATTTCAACATAACACCTGATACATAGTTTAGTACTTACATTGAAAGTAATTTTCTTACAAAATAAATAAATACAACGTAGGAACTACTAAAACTAGCTAAATTGTCCTGATGGGATTCAAGGACCTCCTCAGCTCCCCATCTGCTGCTGTCATTTCGTTAGATCTTTTGCTATATCAGTTTGATTATGATAATAGCTGATTTTATATGACAAATTACTAAACAATATGTCAATTTTATACATTTACCTTCCATTCATGCTTAATGATATAGATATATAGTTATTATTAATCTTTATTTATTCATGAACTCTGGAACTTGAACAAAACCATTAGAGCTTTACAGCATTAATGAGACACATTTTATCAACTAAGTAATCTAAAGATCAAATGACAGCATGCTGTCAGGTTAAGTTTTATTTTAATTTTCATCTTGGTCAAGGATTCAATTTAATGACTGAAAATTGATTAGAAAAGAAAAAGAAAATAACAGGATTGCTTTTTTATTTCAGAAGCAAACATTTTGTCTATATTTTTTTATGTAACCCATACCTTGGAAGCTGATGAAGTTGGTCTTATTTTGTCCAGCCTTATTACAATATTTTGAAGAGTAATTTCTGGTGCTAGATGTAAAAAGTTGACAGACATGCAAGCCAAAGGTGATTCTACAAAGTATTTAGTCTGGGGGTTAAACTCAAACTCCACTAGCTGCTCATTTAATTTTGAATATATAAAAAAAGAAAACTGTTTTCCTTTTCCTTTCACTTTATAATTATAGATTTCTTTGGGTTAGTGTTAAAAATAATTCTTGTAAAATATAGTGTGGTTGTTATTATAAAATGTGGAAAACTTCAGGTTGTGGGCATACTTTTGTAAAGCACTGTTAAGCCTAATTGATCCGAAATGTTTTTTTTTCTTATTTTTTCATGAACAGTGCCTTCATCCATGCAAAGAATTATGGGAAACTAGGAAGGTGATTTCTCCAAAGTTATGCGAGGTAAGATAAAAACATTGTGTCTTTCTAAAAGTCACAACAACCTTGGTGGTCCACAAAAAAGTTGCACTTCTTAGTACCGCCGAGATGTTTTGGTACCTAAAACCTGGACGTCTTACCTTCCTGCTGTGTTTGTTTCACAAATCTAAAAATTTAGATCTTTTCTAAGCATACAGTGGGGAGAGCAACTGTTTCATCTGTAGGTTGCATGTGTGTTTGTGTGTGTGTGTGGCCCTAAATGATTATTTGTAGAGCCAGTTTCTGTGGCTTTTGGATAGATTAGTTTTTCATCACAATAGCTGAAGCGTGTTACTGACTGGCTGGCTGGTTAGGACCACAGGGTAATTCAGAGCCATTAGGTAAAGCTTGTGTTTACATCTGGCTAAACTGCAGCCATGTGAAGGGAACACACACACACAAATATACATGCTCTCAAACTTCTACTTCCAAGGGGGGAAATCTGAGGGTAGATTTTAAAGTCTCTGCTAAAAAAAAAAACTTACCTGGCATGAGTTAGTTTGTTTTATGTGTAAAAAATTGCATATTGTAACCACTGTGTGTAAACCTCAGTAATAATAAGACCTCTAATAGCCCCCTGGGTTGCTTCTTTCTTTCAGAAACAGACAGAGTGTGTGACAAGCAGGGAGTTTCTGGCCTCTCTGAGGTCGTCCCGCCAGGGAGATTGCCCCCCACCGCAGCGAGCCACAGGATTCGCTGCAGCCTGTGTTGAGAGCTGTTCATTTGACCAGGACTGCCCGACCTCTAGAAAGTGCTGCTTTAATGGCTGCGGGCATACTTGTCAAGCACCAGCCAATTTATATAAAGGTAAATACAGTTCCTCTTAACTCCTCCTGTTTTTAATTTGGGACATTTTTTTAGAATTTTGCACAGGAATAGATTAGAATAGAATTTACTAGAACAGAATGGAATGGAACAGAATATCACATCGTGAAGTTTGCAGACGACACCATGGTGGTGGGCCTCATTGGAAACGACAACGACCAGGACTACAGAGAGGAGGGGAAGCACCTGGAGGACTGGTGCAGAGACAACAGCCAGATTCTGAATGTGGAGAAAACAAAGGAGATCATCGTCGACTTCAGGAAGAACCGGCCTTACCATGCTCCACTGCTAATAAAATGCTCAGCAGTAGAAGATTCCTGGGGCTGCATATCACAGACAACCTCACCTGGACTGTAAACACCACCTCATTGGTCAAAAGGGCACAAAAGCGCATGTACTTCCTGCGGAGGATCAGTTTCATATTAGTTGACATCATTAATTTGAAATAGGGACCGAGGGAAACAAGGCTGAATTAAAATTGTGACCCTTACCCTATTTTAACATAACCTATAACAGTTCTATGACCAATCTTGCTTGGATTTGGAGTAGGGGTGTGGGAAGTAATCGTTTTGGTGATATATCGTGATATTCGGCTGCCCAATATAATATTGATCTTTCACTTCTTAGTATCGATAAAAAAAAAAAAAAGGGTTACATAAAACATTGATGGGAAAATGGGCTACCTCTGCACCACCACTCTGACAGAAAGCGCTGTGGAGCCCTTTAACTGTGCGTGCAGCACCAAATCTGTATTTGAGGCAGTCACAGTGGAAGGAAACCCCAAACAACATGGATAATAATGCCTAATCAATATTTTCTGATGAAAATATACAGCACTTGCTGTTTTATCTCATCATTTGACTTTGATAGCTGGGGAAAATATGGCAATATACAGTGATACTGCAATATCGTGATAATATTGTATCGTGACCCAAGTATCGCGACATGTATCGAATCGCAACACTCATGCCAATACTCACCTCTAATTGGGAGTGACATTAAATTTCCCTTTTTGATTATCAAACTTTTTTTAAATTGAATAAAATTGAATGGAGTCGTTCAGAGGCTAAATCCTTTCCTCTGCCTACATCCCCCAGAATGCTGTGCAGCACTGGATCAGAGTTCAGTGAAGTTTTATTTCGTAGCCCTAATTGCACAGCTATAGTTTCAGCAAAAAATTTGCTATTATTATGCATTGATATTAAAAGGTTTGTTCTTTTTGCACAGAGATTTTACAACTCCCACCATATGCCCAAGTTTTGTTTATAAAAAAGTGGTAAATAGTTACAACTGGAGTCCAGTCCATATCACAGTGCAGGGATTTGAAAGGTCTGCTTCGGTGGATATAGATTAGTAGTAGCTAAACAAGTAGCTAGTATACTGAAAGAAGTTGAAAATGCTGCTAATTAAAAAAAAAAAATTTTTTTCGTGTGGAGTTATGACACCAGTGCGGAAGAACTGGGACTCCATTGCTAAGGAGCTGAAGTTCGGAGGAAACCTATATGCCTATATAAAAGTAAAGATAAACTACATAAGGTGTGGTTAGGATTTAACTCTTCCAGCCAAAGAAAAACTAAACTATTGAGTAACTTCTTTTTCTAATTTTACCAGTTATAAAAAGTTTTGATTGTCAGATATTTCTGCAATGGTGGGTCATGTGTGAAGAAAGGCGTTTGACCCACATGCAGAGAACACACAAGGAGGAGGATGAATTTCAGATCAAAAGGTTTTATTTTGCCTTTGAAACTGATAGCAACAACCAGAGAAGGAACTCATATTGTTATGGAGAAGCCACTGGAGCTGGATCGTGCCTGCACTGAGGGCACAGAAGGGTAGAGGTTAGCGGATGGTTTAGACTCAAGCTAGGAACCTGATTCAGACAGGAGCTTACTGAATAAGCGGGGTGTTTCCACCAGGGAGGACTGGAGTTGGGAGCTGAAGGTTTTCTCAGTGATTGCAGGTGGGTGAGTCGTTGGAGGGCAGGCAGGTCTTTCCAGGTTGTTGGCGGAGACAGGGAAGCGGTACATTGTCGAATAAGGTTTTTTTTCCAGGAGTTTCTTCAGCAGAGGTTTTGTTTGGGTTCGGTTCAGGAAGTGAGCTCCTTGGACGAAGCTTTTCTCAAAAGCACGAGAGGTAACCAGTAGTGATTAACACTCAAGTGCTGGAGATCCAGCCCGACCGCTCCTCTTATACTGGAGAAGATGAGGATGATTACACGCAGGTGCACAGAAACTGCCCACCAAGCAGACCACAGCCCTTAGAGCAGGCATCCCCAAAGTCGGTCCTCAAGGGCCGCTGTCCTGCAGGTTTTGGAGGTTTCTCTGCTTTAGCACAGCTGCTAATGATGATTGAAGTTGAGCAACAGCCTGTCAATCAGATTTCAATTAAAATCAGCTGTGTTGGAGCAGGGAAACCTCTAACACCTGCAGGACAGCGGCCCTCGAGGACCGACTTTGGGGATGCCTGCCTTAGAGGGTCCACAGCCCCCGACCGGCTCCACCTAGAGGGAGAAGCAGACTCCAGCACCCAACATGGTGTTTATGTAGCTGCATTGCAAAGAGGGCCTTATTGCATAATATTTCTTGTTTCAGAGTTTTAAAGCCAAACTCTTTTATTTTGAAATCTCAGAACAGGTGATATGTAAAAATAAATATTAAATTGGTTGGATGAGCTGCTTCACCTCTTGATTTATTAAAACGTGGTTCATTTTGAAATGCATTTCACTCACTAAACCCCAAATTTGATTCCATCAACACTCCCTGGCATCTTCAAAGCAAACTCTTTCATTTTTTTCTGTCTTGGTCTTCCAGGTGTTCCCTTGAAACCTCGCAGGGAGATGAGTTTTTTGGAAGATCCTGAGGGTCGTGTGAAGGTGGCATGGCTGTCAAAGTTCAACGTCAGCATGGAGCCTGTCATTTACATGCTTCAGTCACGCTGGAACATCGGCATTCACCCCAGTGAGGACCACGCCTCTCCGTGGGCAACTGTCGTCATGGTGAGTAACGAACATAGCTGCCTATTAGCACAGCTGTATTAAAGCTGTCATATTTTGCAAAATCACTACAGAGATAAATGATGGTGTAGAAAGTAAATGATATAATGATAGATATAATGTGTGGTTTGAGACATATTTGTCATTTTAATAAATTGTTCCCAATGAATGAGTGTGACTGGTGTTCATGGGGATTAACAATTAAGCTGAGGACTGAAAAAGGTGTGCCTACCAGCACTCGGTCTAAGCATTAAAAACAGTTCCTGTGCCTTTAACACACCACAACATTTTTAACATATCTTTGCTTCATAACTCTCAATTTGCCTTAAATGATGAAACATCCCAACTATGGAGATGGATGCTAGAGTCTGTTTCCAGCTCATCAGTCTGCTGCCTTGCTGTCTAAACCTCTCCGCCCCAGCCAGTCTCTCCCACTCTGCCAGGGGAAACCAAAGTGTGTGTGTGCACATTAGTAGAAACGAGTGTGTGCTTGAAGTGCGCGTCCGTGTGTGCGTCTGTGTGAGGTTAGGTAAATAAGCAGAACTTAAAAGGAAACCGCAGGCAGCCACAGTCTTTCCACCGGCTGATTCTGAATGACTGAATGCACATTATGGACTTAAATAGATGACAGCGCGTGTCAGTGTTTGTGTGCGATGGAGTATGGATGAGCAGTTTGTAAACTGTGATTACGTTCAAACTGTCAGGAAGGCAGAGCATGTGAGTCACAGGCAGTAATAACCATAATGTGACCAGATGGTTCAGTTTTTTTCAGATATTAACACAATTATATCGCTGCCAGTTTAGAAAATGAAAATACATTCAGTGTGTAAAGGAGCAGTTCCTTTAATCTTTCATTAATGATTTTATGTTCAGCCTTTAGGGAAGATTTATAAGGAGATGTGTTGACACAGGTAAAAGAGGTGGATTGGACTTTTCTCCAGCTGTGTTAATCATATAGTGAAGGAGCAGTGCCCCTCCCCATCTTATTGCTGCACCCTGTCAGTCAGCTGTCTAATAATCATGGTTTGCAAGATTGACAAATTCAGCAGACCATATCACTTCATCCTCTGACATTGGAGTTGGCTTGGAGCTCTTCTGCCTGGCTGTGTGTTTCCTGGACGGGGCCGCCTTTTACAGTTGCTTTCTGTATCTCTGCTTCTGTCTCCTTGAACCCCAGTGGGCCTCAGCAGATGGCCGCTCACACTGAGCCTGGTTCTGCTGGAGGTTTCTTCCTGTTAAAAGGGAATTTTTCCTCTCCACTGTCACTACAAGCCAATGACTTTGAATCAATTTGACTGTATGATCTGGTGAACTGTAAGGTGTCTTGAGATGACACGTGTTGTGAATTGGCGCTATAGAAATAAACTAAATTGAATTGAATATTTCCAGCTAATATTATGAGGATTTTAAATATGTAGTTTTGCTTATGTCTGTTTATCAAAAATAATAATAATAAGATATTAGAAATAAAAGATATTATTAGAAACATTATTTTAACTGAACTAATTTATGTGATTTTAGTTAGTTTATTTCAAACGGATTAAAAAACACAAATGACCAGCAGAACACGAGGGAAGAGAAAGTCAAAACTTTGATTAAAATCTGTAATCTGTCCTACCTGAGTATTTAATCTTCACATTTTCTCATGTATTGGGAAGTTATGTTTACACTGTTAATCACTGACCTTTTTCACTTTACACACACACACACACACACATGTTGTGTCACAATATCCTTGTGGGGACCTTCCATTGACTTCCATTCATTTCTCACTAATTTATATGGCCTAACCGTGACCCTTTCCCTAACCCTAACCATTACCGACACATACCTATCCCTAAACCTATCCTAAACTCAATTCACACCTTAGTCCTAAACCTAACCCCCACCCCAAGAAGATAAACTTTCCTTATGGGGACCAGTTGTTGGTCCCCACAAGTACCTATGAGTCCTCAAAATGTAGCATATTCCTAGGAAATTGTCCCCACCAGGTATTGAAGACATGGCCACACACACACACACACACACACACACAAAAAATATATATATATATATGCAATGTACAATCATTTAACATTTTGATACCAGTAACCATCTAATGCTTAGTTCTATGTGATAACCATAGCAACACTTCTGTTAATTACTCTCAAAATGCAAAGATTTGCACCAAACTGCACTGTCTGACCATTTTCCCTCATGTGATGTGATTTCAGACCCTGTCTGAGGACGCATTTTTGTCCGACCTGCGGCCTCAACGTTGGTATCAGTTCAGGGTTGCAGCCATCAACAGTCATGGCAGCAGAGGCTTCACCACACCCAGCAAACACTACATCTCCAGTAAAGGTAATAAAACAAACTAAACACATAGTTTTTCTCCTTGGAGAGCTATTCCAAGTGTCCTACTCAGAGTGATGAATCCTGCATGTTTTCCTTCTTCTGCCAGAAAAGCTTGATATCCTGTCACGAGATGCAAAATGCAGACACTTATGCTCAGTTTGTGTCACTTTATGGGAGACATTATATCTCCCTTTGGAGCTGTAAGAAACTCAGTAACACCTCTCCTCTTCTGCTCTTGTTCTCATTTTCACTCACAGTAAATGGGTAAGCTACACTCTGTAGAATACAATCAGGCAGTCCAAAAAAACACAGACAGGAAGCTGGACATACACCCATCTTCATGTGTAGGTGTTTACAAATGCAGAAAAGTCACAGACCTGCATCCCTCTTCAGTTGGTTCGGTGCCAGAGTGAAATCTCTGCTTTGGGTTGGAGAGATGAGCTGAACTCACACACACATTGAAGGAGGTCATTCATCTAATGCTCAGCAGTCTTAAATCATGCTGGTGTCAGGCCAGGATTGTCTCATGGTTTGATTCCCCAGCCAGGACCAAACAGAGCATGTTTAAAAAAGAATAATGGATATAATGTTGGACAAAACTCTGCAGCTTTATCAGATAAGATCTTATCAGAAATTGTGTGGAGATGTTTGAGAACACTGAGGCGTAATATCCTCAGCTCCATTCATCCTAAGCCTAAACTATGGTCGAAAAAGCATAAACTTCCCAAAATGATACAAGTCAGCTTGCTTTACTTATGAGGCAGTAACACACATTGCCTAGATCTGTGATGTCATCTCCTCTGTGAGTTGTAAGCCTTTTTTTTCTTGCATAGGTGTTCTCAATCTTTAACATCATTTAACGCCAATGGCAAACTCACTAGGCTTCGCATTTGTTTTTAATAGAATTTTCTGCATGACATTTTTGAAATGGAAAATCTTCAAAGAGTCACTTACCATTGCATGAGATGAATCTATTACAGAGCCATGAAGAGAGACGTCTTAAAGCCTCACAGACTTTAATGGTACTATGCAGTAGGATGTTTTCTTTTAATGGCAAGTACTGTATAGGCCTGACAATAAAAACACATCTGGGTAATGAAGTGTGGATTTTCTACAGTATGATGTCTGAAATCTACATAATAACCAAAAAAAAAAAAAAGAATAAAAACATGATATTTGTGTGTCTTTTCCGGCTAATGATATCACTAAAGGTAAAGTTGCTTATCTGGCAAATCCATTGTCATTTATATGATGCTGATTCACAAAAATGTCTCAAATGGTCTAATAAATCCAATTATATAGACAGTTGAGTTTATTTGGACAATAAGCGGGAAATGAACTCCTTTTTGACAGCAAAAAGGACCTGGCTCAGTGTAAACGCCCATCAGCTGCACCCGACTGGGGTTTGAGCTGGCTCCAGTTAAAGCTGTGATGGACAAAGGCCTTTTGACAGTCATGTGGCTAAAACATGAGGTTAAATCGTTTGCAGCTCAGAATTTGACTTCAAAACATTAGCTAATGCACATCTTTATATATTAAATAAACATTCTCCTCCAAAAAAAAGGAAAAAAATCGTTGGGAGGATAGGAGCTTGTTGCCAATCAGTTTTGGATGACGACTCTAAGCCTCAGATTCATCCGGCGTTTTGCTGCAAATGTACACAATGAAGGTTGCAAATTATAAGTGATAAATTACAAGTTATACATTCCTGAAAACAACAGGAAAAAAACATTAAAAAGTAATTGAAAGAATTCAAATAAGTCGCCTTTTGTTTTCTTGTTTTTAGAAAGGTAGGTACTATAATACGCAACTATAATAAATTGATTATATCTAAGGTGAGTTTGATTCATTTAACTAAAATGGCTATTCAATAGGTATAATTGAGTCACTTTTTATAATTTGCTCTCATATTCAGTTTGTTTTAAACAGTGTTAAAGTGCGAAATAAAAATCATAATCCTGATTGAGTTAATAATCTTTAATTCCAGGACCGGATTTATCTAATCCTTACTTAAGCATGTTATTACTTTTATTTGCAAACACACGTAGTGCAAGAAAGAAGAATAGAACATAAATCTTAACAAAAAAAAAAAAATCAAATCGAGATCCTCACATTGGATCAAACATTAAATTGAAAAAATATGATGCATTTACTTTGATTACATTTCTGCCCTTTGTAAATTGCATTTTTGTAATGAACATATGAAACATGACATTCTAAATGATGCGTTTACAAGAAGCCTGTAAACACTTTTATACCGACTGTCAGACCTTAGATTTAATCTTACAGGAAGAATTTCTGCCAAAGTCTGATTCACTGAAAACTGATCCAATCATTGTGGTTTTAAATACTTTATTTTCTCTGTAAATGTTTTCATTTTTCACCATGTTACAAAGTGATATTTTCTGCAAAGTGATTTATACTGTTTGTTTTAAGCCTACTTTTTAGGTGCTTAGGTTGTGTTTTTATTTTATTTAAGAATTTGCTAAAAATATTTTTGACATGCAATCTGCAGAAATATATCTTATACACGACATATTTAAACATTTATTTTAATTTTACTTGTAAATAATTGGTCCATAAATTACACTATTGACAAAATACTCATTTTGAAAGTGTAGGTTGCTTGACTTTGTATGAGTTTTATTGTTGACATATGTGCTGCTTTAAAGTCTGTAAAATATTATTTAAAAAAAAAATCCTAAAATAATCTTCTGGTATTAATTAATTAATGACCCAAAACCAAAACCGTCTGCAAATACCCAAGAGTTTATGTAAAACGATTAAGTTATTATCAAAGACAATGTTTTCAATTGCTGTTAGTTGACTGTATCCTTTTGCAAGCTTTAAAGTTAAAAAAGTTGTAAAGTCAAATGTCTTTTTTGTGGTTTATTAGAATGATCAGAATTAGGTTGTTTTTTTTGCTAAATGGCCGAAACTGAATTGCTTGCTGGGATTTTGTCTCATTCCTCTTCAGAGGTGTCAATTAACAAAGTACAAATACTTTGTTCCCTTACTTAAAGGAGAAGTTCGGTTTTTAACACTTTTAGCCCATTTTCTGTAGTGTCCAGGATGAAATCGAATGATCGACACCAAAATTTTGACAATTGGTCCTGTCTCTGCTTTTTGGCTCATTTAGAATCCACCCCTGGCTGCTTCAGAATGGCTTCCATAGAGCATGTCCGATAATGTCCTTAAAACAACCTTAAACGTTCTTTTTTTTAAATATGCTACTCACCGGGTCGTCAGCGCTGTTCAATGACGTTCCAAAAAAAGTTTCGTAAAGAAAAAACGTTCCTGTAGTGTTTTATTTAGCATTTTGTAAATCCCATTGAGTTCTGTAGGAATAGTCAATATTCCCCTGCCACCGGAAACGGAAATGGGGCCTGTTTACACAGTTGTAGTCTTTTCGCTTCACTCTGTGTACTCCGACGTCGAGGTGCTAACGTCTCTGTTAAACACTTTAAAAAACTCTGAAAATGGAATACGAAAGGTGGGTTCTTGATTCTCGACGTCGGAGTACACAGAGTGAAGCGAAAAGACTACAACTGTGTAAACAGGCCCCATTTCCGTTTCCGGTGGCAGCGGAATATTGACTATTCCAACAGAACTCAATGGGATTTACAAAATGCTAAATAAAACACTACAGGAACGTTTTTTCTTTACGAAACTTTTTTTGGAACGTCATTGAACAGCGCTGACGACCCGGTGAGTAGCATATTTAAAAAAAAGAACGTTTAAGGTTGTTTTAAGGACATTATCGGACATGCTCTATGGAAGCCATTCTAAAGCAGCCAGGGGGGGATTCTGCATGAGCCAAAAAGCAGAGACAGGAGCAATTGTCAAAATGTTGGTGTTGATCATTCGATTTCATCCTGGACACTACAGAAAATGGGCTAAAAGTGTTAAAAACCGAACTTCTCCTTTAAGTAAAAATGTTGACTATCGTTACTTTACTGGAGTAATTTTTTATTTTTTTTTTGACAACTTTTACTTCTATTCCCTTAAATTTTTTTTTGCAATTATCTCTACTTTCTAATCCTTATATTTTAAAAATAGACTCGTTAGCTTTGTTTCATTCAAGCTCATTTTCATGATGGCCTGTTGGTATTTAAAAAAAATAAAAAACTTCAAAAATTATTCATTTCATTCAAACAATTAATTTATTAGTGGTTGGACTCGGTGCTGCCCCAACTTGTTGTTCACGACATACCAAAGAAAATAGTTTTTCAAGATGATGCAAAGTTAAATTTCACACTTTTACCATTAGTTATAAAACAAAGAAAACGAAGTTTAAGTAAGTCAACATCCAGAATTGTAGAAAAATGTTCTATTAAACTTCTAATCTTCTATTAAAAAATCTGATAGGGCAGTAATCAGTATGAGGTTTAAAGCATCTGTCCACATTTTTTACTGCATTACTTTCACTTTTATACTTTAACTAGTTTTAAAAATGGTACTTTTGCACGTTTACTAGAGTAAAAAGCTTAAGTTGATCCTCTAACTTCTATAAAAGTGTTTTTAAGCTGTATGATTTATAGTTGTACTGGAGTAATAAACAGTAATACTTTTGACACCTATTTTCCTCCTGAAAGAGGTCCAACAGAGGTTTGTTTCATTTAGGTTAACTTTTTTGTTACTGTGATCAATAGATAAGGAACAACATTGATTGTTATTTTAACACAGTTTGTAATTATTTCTAAGGATGCACGATATTGGGATTTTGGCCGATATCCGATATGCCGTTATTTTAAAACTCATGTAGCCGATAACCGATATCGATACCGATGTTAAAGCTGGACAAAAATAAGTAGTCATTGAAAATAGCAGTTTTGTTATCCATTTCTGACACTTTGAAAAATAATATACTCAAATATATTTTCATATGCTGATATCAAATAGATTTTTAAAAATGCGGTATCGATCTATTTTACTTTCAAAATCTCGTGAAATTTCATCGTTCTGTTACAAACTCTCGTGATATTTTGCAAATTCTTGTGAGATTT